ACACACACACACACACACACACACACACACACACACACACACACACACTTTTAATATAAACTATGTTCTATATGCTGTTTGTCTCCTCATCAGTAACTTATGAATATGTGTATGAAATTTTAAGAGCAATTTCAAAGAAAGTGCAGAAAGCGTGGTACACAGTTTGATTATTAGATAAGGGCAGGGTAGCACATGGTGCTCTTGGCTGGCCAGGCCAGTGTCTTAGCCACACTGTGCCCTGCCTTGCCCAGAGTGGCTGCATGCCTGTGGGATCCATGGCAGTAGGAAGCAAAGCACGGGCTGGCATCTTCCCACCACCATGCAGAGTTCAGGTTAGGGCTGCTCTCTCTACACTCAAAAGCTGCCCTAGGATGGTGCTCTAGGTTGGCTGTACAGCAACTTGGTAATGCATGTCTTCTCCATCCCTGTGCTCATGCTGATGGTCTTTTGAGAAAAATGTTGACCCTAGTGTCCAGGTGTCTTCAAGGATGTGTATTTGTTCTTTTGAACAGTGGCCAAATGAATGTGCAGATGGCTGGAAAGGACAAACAGAAAGTGATCCAGCTTTGTCATTTGAGACACCTGATTTTTTTTCCTCTAAAGAGGAAAGGTGTAAACTAGACCGTTTACATCTTTTCAAGGAAAGAAGCTTTGTTTGCAATCTTAGTGTTTTGGTTTCCTTCTCAGTTCAGATCAGTTCACATCTGCCTCCTTGTCTTGGAGCCAAGATGGAATCTTGATTCCCCATGCTACTGTCTATATGTAAATTATTTGTTTTGGGAGATTTTCATTATCTTATTTTTGTTAAATATATCCTGAGCACTTTTTTATATTCTAAAATATAGAGGCTATATTATCAGACAAATATATTCATTTGATTGAAGTTATTTAGGTAAGAATTATTGTTTTATTTTTCCTTTCAAACAGTTTATCCTAGTGTTCTTCCATCATTCTGCAAATGTCTGTTTTGTGTGGTTTCTTAGCATATCAGTCTGTATTATGTAAAAGAATCTTTCTAGATTTCTGAACAGTAAATGGTTTGGTTTTATAGACATTGTATTGTTTCAGTATGAATAAAGGTGAGAGAGAGAAGCTAGCCCATATGAGCAGCTAACCTGAGTATGTATATTGTGGCTAATGTAAAGGAAATGAAGTGAGAAGAGTTGGAAGTGTTTGAATTACAATTTATGCAAATGTGGGTCTGCAGGAAACCAGTGATTCTATGGCAAACTGAGGGCTGCATGTGGTCCTTTTGCTCTTGTGTATGCTTTTTCATCAATCTACTTGAAAAATAAAGCTGTTTCTATCTGCCGTGACTTCTGTGGGTCATAATTATTTAAGAAACATAACATATTCATCTTTGAGAATATTGCCTGGATGCATTGCTCAAGCAAGCACAAAGCCCTGAGTTCAAACCTTAGTACCATCAATAGGTGTGTGTGTATTCTTGCGTACATTTATCGCTAGTGAATATATAGAAAACACTTTCTTATTTAAGTTATAAATTTTAATTTTTATATTTAGAGTTCTGGGCCATTTGATTAGCTAAATCAAAATACAGTGGGTTCCTTCGTGTGGAATACACTTTAAGTATCATGTTCTCATTTTCACAAGCTAAATTAGGAAGTTGTTAGAGTTGGATTTACCATGTCAAATACAGTTTTTCCAAAATTAAGTTTACTGAGGAATCTTTGATATATATATATATATATATATATATATATATATAAAATCTACTAGTGATTTTCCTTTTTATAATAGTTTCCCAGTAAGTTGGTGATTTAAATGTTCTGGCCGAACATGCTGGCTCACACTTATCATCTCAGCTACTTTGTAGGCAGAGATGGGAAAGGATCATAGTTCAAGGCCAGCCAGGCAAAATGTGAGTCCTCCTAGCTCAACAAAAAAGCTGGGAAGAGTAGGGTCTGTGCTGGCCAAGGAAACACATGAAACCTTATCTCAAAAATAACCAAAGCTATAAAAAGGGCTGGAAGCATTTCAAGCAGTAGAGCACCTACCTGCCTAGCAAGGCCCTGAGTTCAACTGTGAGTTCAATGTCAACTGACTTTTCCAGAGCGGGGATGGTTTTATTGTTTTAAATGGGATAGCGATCATCAAAAAAAGTCAAGAAAAGAAGAGAGAAAAAAAATCACCTTTTTTTTTTTTTGACAGTACAAGCCATCATTCACATTTCAATCCACATCTTTTCAGTCTGTTTTCGTTCATGTGTGAGTACGTGTAGGTGTAGGTATCTTATTTGTAAGGATCATGGCATGTACATCATTTTGTATTTTTCATGTGTTGTGACCATGAAAATTAATGCCTGAGTAATATTCTACTGTGTCTTTTGGAAAAGAGGGAGGACTGAATACTCTGATGCCTCCTTATGGGCAGTGTAGGGATTGTAGTTCACCAATACCGATGTTTGTTTTCTCAGCTGAGTATATCCCTGCTGAATTTACATGCAGTATGGGACCCCTTCCCTTGTGGTGATGCTCTGAGAAGGAGAGGCCTTCGGAAGGTAAGTAGATCATCAGGGCAGAGCCCTGGTAAAGGGGATTAGTCCCCTTTCAACAGAGCCCTTGGATTGCACCAAAGTTTATCTCTCCCATCATGAAGACAAAGTTGTATCTGAACCAGAAAGTGTCCTCCATACACCAAATGTGTTCTACCTTCGTTCCTCTTAACCACCAGTCTGTGTATGGCAACAGCAGTCTGATCAGGTAAATTTCTTGTTAACATTATTCTCAGTCCTCCTTTCCCAGTTCCCTTTGCTTTTCAGTGGACAGGAGGAATTTTCTCCTTACATGAAGGCTCAGGAAGTCACACTTCTACAAATCGCGCTCCCTCCCATGCCTCTCCTTTCATTGTCTAGTCTCCGTAATTTCTGGAAGCTCTATACAAGTATTTTCCAGTTTCCCACCTCTGAACAATGAAGTGCTTTGTTTTAAAGATTATTTAAAGCAAATTGAGGTTCTGAATTGATTCCTTCAGGAAAGAGGAGTCTATAAAAGTTGAGTTGACTGGGCCAGGTAGATAAGCATGTCACTATTAGTGAGCTTTTCACTTTGAAACAGTGTGATTTTGTTGTTATTAAGATGTACAGAGGGACTACCATTCCGTAAATCAAGTAATGGATACAATTCCTTTTCCCCTGGTTCTCCCTCCCATCCTTGCCCACAAGTTGTATGGTTCATTTTTTATATAATGTATAATGAATGCCACGACTGCATTTGTTCACTTGTTCTTCATCCTGCACCCTATTTGTCCCCCCTAAAATGATAAAAAAAAATTAAAAAAAAAAAGCAAAAACACAACCACCATGAACAACAACAAAATCGTGTTTCCATTTCTTGGAATTTATATCAATAAATAGTATTTATAATGTTCTAAGGAGTTATGCCTCTGGGTTCCTCCACTAAAAGTATCCTCTTTAGTCAGACTGTTTGTATAAGAATGCCTAGAGTCCTGTGTAAAGTTATGTCCAGTTATATTTTAGATCTAGCTTCTGCATATGAGAGCAAATATGCAGTTTGTCTCTGAGCTTGGCTTACCTCACTTAACATGGTTTGTTCTAGCTCCATCCACTTCCCCGCAGGTGACATAATCTTTCTGATGTATAAGTAAAATTCCATTGTTTTATAAGTACTACATTTTTAAAATCACATTGTAGGGCATCTGGGCTGTTCCTATAATTTTGTGAATAGTGCAGCAGTGAATATTGATATTGCAAATATCTACGCGATCTTTACTTGTAATGTTCTTGGTAGATGCCCAAGAGTGTTATGGCTGGGTTGTAGGGAACTTCTCTGTTTAGTTTGAGGATTTTTGTTTGTGGGGCTTGAATTTAGGGTCTGGTCCCTGGTCTCTCATGCTTAAGACTAGCACTCTCCCACTTTGAGCCATAGCTCCACTTCTGGTTTTCTGGTGGTTAATTGGAGATAAGAGTCTCACAGATCTTCTTGGCCTGGGCTAGCTTTGAACCTTGATCCTCAGATCTCAGCCTCCTGAGTAGCTAGGATTACAGGTACGAGCCAATGGCGCCCGGCTGAGAAGTCTTTCTTTAGCTCCTTTGCCCATTTGTTGTTGATTGGGTTGTTAGTTTTGGAGGAGGATTAATTCCTTGTATATTTTGGATATTAGGATTTTGTTGGCTGTATTACTGGTAAAGATTTTTTTCCAGTCTGTTGGTTGTCTTTCTGTTGGTTTATGTCCTTTGTGGTACAGAAACTTTTTATTTTGGGGTAATCCCATTTCTCAAGTCTCTCTCCTATTTGCTGTGTCCCTGGGACTCTTTCAAAAAGTTCCTGCCTATGCCTGTAAGTTCTAATGTTGCCCCTACTCCATCTTGCAATAGTTTCAAAGTTTGAGATCTAATGTTGAGGTCTAGGTCCACTTTGTGTTGAAATTGGTGCATGTGACAAACAGGGATCCAGTTTTAGTTTTCTACATATAGATGTCCAGGTTTGAGCTCTTCACTTTTTAAAACATACTGCCTGAGCCTGGTCTAGGTGGTTTACACCTATAATCCTAGCTATCAAGAGGCTGAGCTCTGAGGGTAGCTACAGGTTTGAAGCTACAGAGCTGAGAGATTCTTTTCTCCTGTTTACCAGCAAAAGACCAAGAGTAGAGGGTTGGCTTAAGTGGTAGAGCACTGATCATGAGCAAAAAAGCTGAAGAAAAGCACAAAACCTTGAGTTGAAGCTCCAGGACTAGCACAAAAAACAACAACAAAAAAAACAAAAAGCCGTACTGCCTCTTTGTGTGCTGAGATTTAATCCAAGTGAAGTTGTACTTTTATATCTAGTTGGTTATCAGGAGTATCATTTTTCCTGTTTAAAAAACAGTGTCCCTTGGGCTGGGAAAGTGGCTCAGTGATAGAGTGCTTGCCTTGCATACCTGAGGCCCTGGGTTCAATTCCTCAGCACCACATAAGAAGAAAAA